TCAAGGAAATGGCTCACACAGTTGTGGAGGCTGGCAAGTCCCAAATCTGTGGGTCACACGTCAGGCTGGAGGCTTCTCCTGACTCACGTGGTTGCAGGGGCTGACGAGCCCAAAATTGGCAGGTCTGACGGGAGGCTGCTGGTTCATGTCCCAAGAGCCAGAGAGCTGCAGGATCTAGAGAGGGCAAGCTTTGCCAGAACTGCCATATATATTGGATGCAGGCCACACCCCCCAAGGAAAGTCCTCTTTCAGCTAATTGGCTGCTCACATCAGATCACAAAATGGAGGATGATTACATAGTATCTGCCAAACTACTGAGAATCATGGCCTAGCCAAGTTGACGCATAACCTTAACCATCACAACTAGCATGTATTATTATGTGCCAGGTGTACTATTCTAAGTATCATATGCATCAACTCATGTAATCTTTATGGCTACTCTGTGAAGATACTGTACTATTAATACTCTCATTTCTAGATGAGAAAACCAAGGTACAAGACTTAAGTAACTTGCCCGAAATCATAAAGCTAGTTAATAATGGCACTGAGATTTGAACTCACGTATTTCTGGCTCTGGAACTCACACTCATAATTACTCTTTGCCTTCCTATCATTTTGAATTGAATGCTTATTTATTAGTTGTTTATTTAGTAATGAGAGTACTTCAGGTTATTAATTTTTCTCCTAGGTACAACTTTGACTACATTCCAAAGGTTTTGATATATAATGTTATTAGTGATTTTACTTTCTAAATTACGTGTAATTGTAGTTTTGATTTCCTCTTTGACACAGAAGTTATTTAATAGCAAATCTGACTATTTGTTAATTAATTTTTGTCTTATTAATTGTTCTGCAGCCTGTACAACTTGTCCTCACTGGAATTTACTGAGGTCTTTTGGGACCAAATATATGATCAATTTTTGTAAAGATCCCCTGGACATTGCAAAAGAAAACTTATACTGTGTTTTGTTGTGTGCTGTCGAGTCAGTTCCAACTCATAATAACCTATAGGACAGCATAGAACTGCCCCCATAGTGTTTCTTGAACTATAATCGTTATGGAAGCAGATTGTCACATCTTTCTCCCGCAGAGTGGCTGGTGGGTTCAAACCACCGACTTTTTAGTTAGCAGCTGAGTGCTTTAACCACTGCACCCCCAAGGCTCTATACTGTGTTTACAGAGTGCAAAGTTCCATATATATTTAATTAATGAAGCATTTTGATTTTATTATTTAAACTTTATCCTTTTTAAGTCTACCTGGGCTGTAGTAATTATTTTCCTCATTTTACAGATGAGGCAACTGAGGCACAGGTTAACTTGTCCAGTAGCTGGGATTTGAACTTCAGCCTTCTGGCTCCAAAGTTGTTGCTCTTGGCTCACATTGCTTGAAGACATAATGTTACCAGGTTCTTTGTAGGCACTTTACGTGATTATTTTATTTAATATCAACAACCATCTGATGAAGTCACAACAACTTTTTGCAGTATATACCTACCATTTTCCCCATTGTACGGATAAAGAAACTGGTCACATAGCTAAGAAATGGCGAAGCCAGGATTTGAACCTGGTTAGTCTGATGGCAAAACTCACACACTTCACAGTGTACTACTTTACCCAGCTTATACTCATGGGAAATGATTTTTCTTTTCCTTCTTTTGTGTTGACTGATTGTTTCCTGATCATACCATTCCCCACTCTTTCTTTAACACCCCTACAGGCAGCATGGAAACCCTGGTGGCGTAGTGATTAAGAGCTACAACTGCTGACCAAAAGTTGGCAGTTCGAATCTACCAGCTGCTGCTTGGAAACCCTCTGGGGTGGTTCTACTCTGTCCTATAGGGTCACTATGAGTTGGAATCCACCCGATGGCAAAAAGTTTGTTTTTTTTTTGGTTTATAGGCAGCATATTAATGGGTTTATGGGTAACTGTAGGTGTTCTTATAAAATACGCATATTTACGTGTATATTTTTAAATTACATAAATGATATTTTCTTATTCTATTAAGTTTTTATTCAGTGCTCCAGCTTTAATGTTCATTCAGGTTGCTCTGTGAACATCTAATCTGCTGCTTCTAATTTACTTTCTACGTTTACCTTCTATTGTTTTAGTGATATGCCTTCAACTCCTCACCACTATAAAAAGTACTTCAGTGAACATCCACCTGTGTTTTAATATATGGTCATGTGTGAAAATTTCTTTGGGATATATATATAGGCAGAGAATTCCTGAATTATAGGGTATATGTTTACCTGATTTGACTCTGCAGTGCCAGCTGCTCTCCAGAAAGGCTGCAGCAGTCTACACGGCCATCAACAGTGCCACGGGCTCCTATGTCCTGCCATCCCTGCTAACACTTGGCAGTATCCAGATTTCAAATTTTTGCCTCTTTAATTGGTTGTTTGACATTTCAAATAACTGTTCTAATGTTCATTTCTTCATATGCTAATGGCCTTTAAAGTTTCCTCTCTTGTAAATTGTCTGTTTCTAATCCATTGGTCATATTTCTGTTGAAGTTGGCTGTCTTTTTTTCCCTCCCTGTTAATTTTTAAGATATTGTTATGGATTGAATTATGTCCCCCAAAAAATGTATGTATCTGTTTGGCTGGGCCATGATTCCCTGTATTGTGTGATTTTCCTGTATGTTGTAAATCTTGCCTTTATGATGTTAATGAGGGAAGGATGAGTGGCAGTTGTGTTAGTGAAGCAGGACTCAATCTACAAGATTGGATTGTGTCTTGAGGCAATCTCTTGAGGTATAAAAGAAGCAAGCAGAGAGACAGGGGGACCTCATACCACAAGAAAGCAGTGCCAGGAGCAGAGCGCGTCCTTTGGACCCCGGGTTCCCTGCGCTGAGAAGCTCCTAGTCCAGGGAAGATTGATGAGAAATCAACAGAGAGAGAAAGGCTTCCCCTGGAGCTGATGCCCTGAATTTGGACTTGTAGCCTACTAGACTGTGAGAGAATAAATTTCTCTTTGTTTAAGTCATCCACTTTCGTGGTATTTCTGTTATAGCAGCACTAGATGACTAAGACAGATACCTTGTATATTGTTGTAACTATTGGTTTTAAACATTTCAAATACTATTTCCCATTCTTCCATGTGCATGTTTTTTCTTGATATACTTGGTTACATAGAAACTCTTATTTTGGTATAATCAAATCCATCCTTTTTTTTTTTTTTTCTCATGTGGTTGTGGTTTTAAGCTTGCTTTATAAGTCCTTCTAGGGAAAACAACCAAGGAAACACGATAGAGTTGAAAAGTGTTGTGATAATGTTGCTGTGCGTGTGAAGCCTAGCCTAAGGAGGCCAACGAAGGAAGGCATGGTGTAGAAGATAAATTTAAGTTGAGACGTGAGTTAGCCGGTCTCGGGAGATGCAGTAGAAAAGGCAGAGATGAAAGTATGTGAGAAATATCAGGTGGTTAAGAGAGAACCTGGTATTTTCAAGGTACTCAAATAATCTTTAGCCGGAGAGCAGCCATGCTAGAGAAGTTGGCAAGGTTTGAAGGCCCTCATAAGCCTAAGGTCTTTGGACTTCATCCCAAAGACCAAGGATATTACAGGATTTTAGGCAGTGAAACCCTGTAAATATTGGTCTTATAGAAGGTCATGTTGTCTACAGCAAAGAAGACATTTGAATCCAGAATTTTATTTTTTACTTTCTTTTTTTTTTACCTAGTTGATAGTCTTAAATAAGCAGCTTTAACTCATTTACCCACTCACTCTGTCACCTGTTTATTTATTTACTATTTTGAACTGTTTCTTTCGTCGTCTTTGTTCTGTCATCTTACTTTAAGCTTTCTGGGGGTTTTTTTTTTTTTTTTCCATTTTGTTTTATCACTTTTTCCTCCCCTTAATTTTGCTTGTATTAGTCATTTTCATTGTTTTAGTTTTTATCTGTGGTGATCTTCAAGTTATGAAAGTTAATACTAGGTTGTTAAAAAAAATTATTTGTACCCATATTTCTATTACTATAAAGAGCAAAACAATAACTTTTTACTACTCCTGTTGAGGAATAAAATAAGCATGGTTTTATTAAGTTTCAGGTTTTATGAAAATAATCTGGCACAATTTATCTAAATGTATTTTGGAAAAGCATTAAATCATAGAAGACATATATCCTTAATGTTTGAGGATATTAAGGATGGCTAAAATGCATCCTTAACCGTTTTTTTTCTTTTGTTGCTGTTGTTGAGAATATACACAGCAAAACATATACCAATTCAGCAGCTTCTCCATGTATAATTCAGTGACATTGATTACATTCTTCGAGTTGTGTAACCATTCTCACCCGCCTTTTCTGAGCATCCTTAACCTTTTAAGGTTGACATTATGGAGAGCAACCATGCTTTCCTTAAAAAGTATTATTGGATGCCTCTTTATTTGCTGTGGGACCCTGGTGGCACAGTGATTAGGAGCCCAGGCTGCTACCAAAAGGTCGGCAGTTCAAATCCACCAGCCGCTCCTTGGAAACCCTATGGGGCAGTTCTACTCTGTCCTATAGGGTCACTATAAGTTGGAATTGACTTGACGGCAACGGGTTTGGTATTTGATATGGTAAGGAGCTGTGGTTCCACAGTGGTTAGGTACTCTGCTGCTAACCAAAAGATTGGTGGTTCAAATCCACCAGCTGCCCCATGGGAGAAAGATGTGGCAGTCTGCTTCTGTAAAGATTTACAACCTTGGAAACCTTATGGGGCAGTTCTGCTCTGTCCTATAGGGTCACTATGAGTCGGAAATGACTCGCCGGCAGTGGGTTTGGGTTTTTGGTTTTTATTTGCCGTAGTAGTCTTTCTAGTTTTATCCTTGTGTTCCTTCAAGGGTTAAACAAAAAGAACCTAACAGAAACATGCCGAAGTATATACTTATATATGTAGATATTTATTTTTTAAATACTGTAAAATAAAAGTTCCCACTTTATTTTTTACTCTGGAAAAAGTAATCATAAAGTAAATGAAGAATATATAAATGCAAGTCTTTTCATTTAAAATGTTTTCCAGGTATAAATATAAATAGTGAATCTCCAGTTGGAAGAAAGTTGACTGTTCATTCTGAGAAAAGCAATGGTAGGTATGAACAGTCTGAAAAGATGTATGTACCATATTAAGCTACATTTGATTTTAAAATCAGTTCATGTGGTAACACTTAACTGGAATTGCAGTTGTTTACTTTGTATGAATGAGCTTTATGACTGTTTTATGAGAGTTGACTTTTAAAAACAAATAGAATAGGTACATCCAGCCATGCTTGAAAAATAGCAGTAGTATGTTGTTTTCTTGTTCAAAGCCTGTGAATTGATTTCTGCTTCTGGAAGGCATTCTTTAGAGCATTATCAACACTGAGAAGTCTACCCCCAGGTGTAGGCTGGTTTCCTTTTTGATTCCAACACCACAGCCAGGAGGTAACCTTTACCATTACCATTAACAGGTTTATGTCAGTGTACTTGAAGGTGTGGGAAACTGCAAATAGGAAGGTGGCTTGGTGTGTCATAGAATGTGGAGATGAGACAATTGTTTGGCTGGAACATCCTGGGGAGGTGGTAGGTTGTGAAGCACGTGCTAAATTGCATGTAATATGCTTTCATTGATTTATCCGTGTTTGTATTTATTTGTTTGCTTCTAGCTGCTTGTCAGACATTGCTGTCTCTTCCTGTGGATTTTAACTTAGAAAATGTATTAGGTAAATATTGTGTTTGTTTGAACTTTTAATAACTAAAATAGAAGGTTTTATTTTGCTGGCTGTTTGTAAATGGGAATATGTGGTACTACCTCTTTCTAAAGAAGTGGGGAAAATGTTGTCTTTAACTTGGCCTGAATTTGCTTTCTATTGTAAGGAACTTTACTGTTGACATAAACTGTTTATGGGGCACATTTTATTGGTATTACCCGTACTAATAACGAAGCATTCAAAAAAGAAGGAATAATTTTAAGATTCAAAACATCACACATGCAGTTAAACTTTGCCATTTAAAAAAATTCAAACATGTAATACATGCTGGTTTTTTAAAAAAATCAGAGTAACATAGAAGTATAATTGCTTTTCAGAATGATTAGCTTTACCTTTTATTTTGTTACCATTTAATTTAGGTGACTATTTTAGAGCTGATGAATTTGCAGATCAGTCTCCTGGAAACCTCAGTTCTTCATCTCTCAGAAGAAAGCTGTTTTTAGATGGGAACGGAAGTATCTCTGACCCCTTGTCTCCAGCTTCTCCCAGCAGTCCTCGTAGTGGTGCTCAAGCATCACTTGAGGTCTTTTATTCAATAGATTTATCTCCTGTACAGTGTAAGAGCCCTGTGCAGACTCCAAGTTCGGTAAGAAATGTTCTAGAAGTGGCTGGTTAGTTTACTATGGATACACTTGGTTGTAGATGATCATATTGCACTTAAGGGGTTTTATATTTCATGAAGATTAACATAGTTCCCATATTGTCACTAATCATAGGGATTTTTTTGGTCAGACTCTCCTATTTTGTATTTAAAGGTATATGGGATGACCAAATTTGTCATTATTTACTGAATTATATAAGATTCTTAGAGTAACACAACTAGATGGGCATTCATGTCTGATGAAGTCAATAAATATTTTAAAAATTTTCGTAAATAGCTGCTTATTGTAAAATTTAATGGTTTGAGCATACTGCATTTATGTATTGACTAACATAGTCTATTTCAAAATTTTAGTAACAGTCTTCTTAATTGTCCTTGTTATAAGATGCCTTTTGATGGTTCTTTTGAACAATTCCTAGTTTATAAATGTACTTTGAAGGTGTGGATAAATAGCATGCAATATAACAAAATTAAGGAAGTGAACCATAGGATTTCATATGCAAATGTGTATATATGTATGTATGTTTGTTTTGTTTTTTCATCATAGGGCCAGTTTTCTTCTAGCCCGATTCAGGATAATGTAAAAAAATACAGTTTGGGAAGCATAACCAGTCATTCACCTATTTCTTCACCCACTTTGTCACCAATTGCATTTCAAATAAGAAAAGCACCACTCTCAGGTAGTCTCATAATAAAATATGTAATTTAAATGGTTGTATCATCAATATTTGTTATTAAAGAGACACTTGTTAAACTTGTTTTAACTATAGTTCTCTAAATGACCACTAAATTTCTGAAATTTAGAAATGCTGATTTTTTTTTACCAAAGGAACAACTTGCCTACAAAGTCTGCGATTCTCAGCAATGTTCTACTCTTGTGTTAAATAAATAAAATTACTTTGATTAGCAGTATTTATACCAACCACTCTTAAAAAGGGAATCAGAGAAATATGACAATTTTAGAGGCAAGGTGTTTTTTATATGCCTTCTGGTCTATAGATTTAGACTTTGCTAATGAGATATTCATATTTTGTAAAGTTGTATTTGTTTGAGTAATGTTTTTAAGGTAAATATAGTATATAAATTTACATATTTCTCTTTCAAAAAATTACAGCATTTTTTGAAAACTTCACAATAAAAAGACCTATTTATAGTAAAAAATAAAAAATGGGAAAATTCGAAACTATTATTCTAGTCATTTCGTTATGCCAAAACACGTTGCCGTTGAGTCAGTTCTGACTCATAGTGACCCTATAGGACAGAGTAGAACTGCCTCATAGGGTTTTCCAAGGAGCAGCTGGTGGATTTGAAAAGGTGCCACCAGGGCTTCTTCTTTTATGCATATACTATTATGTGGAGATTATATTCATATGTACATGTATATATATAATATACATATTTATCTGCACACACTTATATATACAGATATATGTGCATACAAATTCTATATCCTGCTTTTTTCATAAAGCATTTTGAGTATTATTATGAATATTTCCCTAGGTCATTTAGTCAGTCATTGTCTCAAAACGTGATTTTGAATTGCTATGTAATATTCCATTTCATGGATGTATCATTTGTTTTCAACCATTGATAAACATTTAAATTTTTTCTAATTTTTTTTTGTCACAAAAGCAATGATCATCCTTGTATATACATTGTAATGTACATGTTTATATCCTTAAATTAATTTCTTAGAAAAGGAATTAGTTGGTCAAAGGGGTGAATATATTTTTAAGACTTCTGATGAATTTTGCCAGATTTTCTTCAGAAAAGGTTGTACCAACTGAAATTTTCATCATTCTTTTTAGTGTTTGTTAATTTGGTACATTGTAAAAGGTCTCTTACTGTTTTAATTTTGTTCTCTGATCATTAATGATGTTGAACTCTTTCTATGGTTTGTTGGCCATTTGTTTTCTGGAGAAGATTGTTAGTTCTGACTATGTTTTTGTTAAACAGGTGGTTTCTCATTGCTTTAATTTCCATGTTTTTCATTATTTGCGAGGCTGAACACTTGTCATGTTTATTTACCATTGGGAGGATCGTTTATGTGCTTTTGCCTATTTTTTAAAACTTTTTAAAATTAAGTTACAAAAATGATTTATCATTAAGATCTTTACTGTTAACAATACTATTTTCCATTTGCCTTTTAATGTTTATAGCAATTTACATTAACATACAAATAGATTTTAGTATATTTCATTTACCAGATACCGCTATTAAGTTGTAGCTTGCAGAAGATTTGCAAGGCATTTTTGTATATGAACAATATTGTTATAATGCCATGTGCATATAAGGAAATAATTCTCTGGGAGTAAAATAATTTAAAATAGGAAAATGCCAGAGAAATTATTTTTTGAAGAACCTTATCCTGCTTACTGGAGCTCTGGTGATTAAGAGCTTAGCTGCTGACCAAAAAGATCAGCAGTTCCGAACCGCCAGCCACTCCTTGGAAACCCTATGAGGGCAGTTCCACTCTGTCCTATAGAGTCGCTGTGAGTTGAAATCGACTTGATGGCAATGAGTTTGGTTGGTTTTTTATCCTGCTTGAGACACATTCTTCATTTGTGCTGTTGTTTTTAGCACCAAAATTTCACTTCAGTAAACAACACAGCTGTTACAGAAATCTAGTTTTTCTGATATGAAACATGGTTGTTGTTTAGTAATGGCTTTTCCGCTGTCATGTTTTTAAGATCTGATTTTTCCCTCTCAATCTTTTAGAACAAAGGAAGTTGACTTTTCATTCTCCTGATGCTTCATCTGGAACAAGTTCTAATGGAATTACTAATCCACGTATCGGAAGTCCTTATATAGATGGCTGCTCATCAATTAAAAATTGGTCTCCAATGAGACTGGAGATGTGTAGGGGTGGTGCTCAGTATCGGACCTCACTGATTCGGATACCATTTACTCTTGAGGCTCACAGTGAAGATGAGGAAGATAAAGAGAATACTCCTCCCACGGATGTCTCATTACCAGCCATGGATACTGCTGGGGTACAACTACGGCAGTTGAATAGCACACATCTAGTTGTGACTGCCATGTCTATTACACAGAATCAGTTCAGTGCCTCTGAGAAAGAGTTAGCACTGCTGCAGGATGTTGAAAGTGAGAAGGAGAATAACACTGTGGATATGGTTGATCCTGTAGAGATAGCAGATGAGAACACTTTTCACTTAAAGGAGGCAGTTGATAATGGGAGTCTACCCATGACTGATTTTATGAGTGGAATTGCCTTCAGTATTGAAAACTCTCATATGTGCATGGTGCCTCTTGCAGAAAGCAGTGTCATTCCTTGTGAAAACAGTAACATTCAGGTAAGGTGTTTTAATATTCCATAGTGCTTTACTTACTCCCTTGGTGTTATTTATCTTTTCTAAGATTATAGCAAGAAAGCAAATGGATTTAATGTGAGGATTGTAGCATTATATAGTAATTTTTTTAAATGCCAAAACCAAATGACCCCAAGTTAAATTTGGACCAATTGCGCGTGTTTAGTATTCGCATTAACTGATAGATATTTGAAGTAGGAAAAGGTGAGAGCAGAAAGGAAATCAAGGGGCTTTGTTTTTACAGACTGCTAGAGTGAGGAGGAGCTCTGGTGCACGGTGGATAAGCATTCGGCGGCTAACCAAAAGGTTGGCAGTTCGAATCCACCAGCCGCTCCTTGAAACCCTGTGGGGGCAGTTCTACTCTGTCTTGCAGAGTCACTATGAGTTGGAATCGACTAAATGGCAATGGGTTTGGTGTTTGGTTTGGTTTGGTTTGGTTAAGTTTTTGGAGTGAGGCTTCCTCTCAGGATTCAGCTTGCTTTCATATGGATTTTGTACCAAAAAATGCCATTTCTGGTATAGTATTTGTATTTAAAAAATACAGTAGTTTTTGTTTTTCCATTATATGATTTCAGAAGCAAAAACAAAGTTTAGAGCATTTGTATGTATAATTTCTGTACTTTTCTTTAAAAATCATGTGATTTTAAAGCCAACATTTTTCATGTAGTCCTACATTTCTAATTTTGCAGTATCCGTCAACAGGAAAGCCTGATTAATTTGGCAGGTAGACCTCATAGCCAGCACTTTCAGAGACATTTGTTCCATTAATTGTAGTGTTCTTTGATTTTGAAAGAAGTGTAAAATAGTCAGAAAGGCAATTTTTACCCGCCACTTCATAGTAACAATATCTAACACTTATGTAGCTCTTAGAGCCCTGGTGGCGCAGTGGTTAAGAGCTTGGCTCTTAACCAAAAAAGGTGGGCAGTTCAAATCACCAACCACTCCTTGGAAACCCTATGGGGCAGTTCTACTCTGTCGTATAGGTTCGCTATGAGTTGGAATCAACTCGACGGCAACAAGTTTGTTTGTTTTTATGTAGCTCTTACTATATGCCAGGCACTATTCTGAGTACTTTACATAACTAGTAAGTGGTGGAGCCAAGGTGTGAATATTGGCAGTCTGGTTTGAGAGTCCCTGCTCTTAACCTAAGTTTGTACTGACTCATAGTAATAGCTAATACTTATGCAGTATTTCGATGTGCCAGGCACTCTTGTAACTTATATATATACTGGGCAACATTTAGTTGTTATGCATGAGATGGCCATGAGTTGGAGGCGACTAGACGGCAACTAACAACATATGTCTCTGTATATGTATGTATGTGTGTGTATGTGTGTGTGTGTGTGTGTGTGTGTATGCCTGTGTGTGTGTATGTGTGTGTGTGTGTATATATGCCTGTGTGTATGTATGTGTGTATATGTGTGTGTGTGTGCGTGTGTGTGTGCGTGTGTGTGTATGCCTGTGTGTGTGTGTGTGTGTGCGTGTGTGTGTGTGTGTGTATATGCCTGTGTGTGTGTATGTACGTGGAGCCCAGGTGGTGCAGTGGTTGAGAGCTACAGCTGCTAACCAAAAGGTCAGCAGTTTGAATCTACCAGCTGCTCCTTGGAAAACCTATAGGGCAGTTCTCCTCTGTCCTACAGAGTTGCTATGAATCGGAATTGACTTGACAGCAACAGGTTTTTATATATATGTGTACATAGAATCTTTTCTTTGCCCACAGTGTTCTGAACTTTCCGTGATGTTCTTTGGGTTTATTTTCATCCACTGTACTGGACACTCAGAGGGCCCTTACAGTGTGGAAACTCATGTCCTTTACTTCTTAGGTCTCTTCTTGAATATCTTACATTTCTGTCCTATCATTTTCACTGTTTCTCTGGAACTCCTTTTGAGTCTCCAGTTTTTATTATCTTTTCTCTACATTTTTTAAATCTCCTTTTTGTTCTAAATTTTGGGAAGTTTCCTCAGGTTTACCTAGCAACCCTCCTGTTGAGTTTTTATTTCTATATCTTTAATTTCTAAGCACTTTCTTTTGTTCCCTGATTTTTTTTTTTTTTTTCCCTACATCCTGCCCTTGCTTTACGTTTGCAGTATCCTCACTGTATTGGCTTCACATTTGCTTCTGGTATTAAATAAAAAATCTGTAACCTGGGTGGCAAGACCTTGCATGTTCTGGCCTTTGCCCTACTCTCCAGCTTCATCTTGTTTCACCTCAGTCTCACTGGCTTTCCAGAATTTTGAATAACCATGTTTCCTCCTGTTAAAGGCTTTTGCACACACTGTGTAGAATCCCTTTCTATCCCCATTTACCTAGTTAACTCTTATTTATTCTTTAGTTCATGACATAATGATCTCGTCCTCAAAGAAGCCCTCCTGATCACCCTAGCCAGGCCAGATCTCATTACATGCTTTCGTAATTTCACGACACTTTTTATTCGCTCCAACCAGACTTCGCACACCATTAATCCAGCAATCGTGTATGTTTTTATCCTCAGTACCTACTGTCAAGCCTGGCCCATAAGAGCTACTCATTAACTCTCTGTGTAATGAAAGCAGAATGAATACATCGATAAGTTCAACCAGAGGGACTGTATAGAGTGAGAAAAGCAGTGGGCCAAGGTTTGGAACCCTGACGAAAAATTGAGGGAGGGGGATAAAGAAACGAGAGCCCCTGAAGGAGACTGAGTCAGAGAGGAGAGAGGGACACTAGGAAATTATAACAGCATGGAGCATCTCAAGAAGGAAAAAATGGTACTGTCAAAATAAGAGCAAGGAATATAGGCTTGAAAAGTGGCTGGTGGATTGATAACAGAAGTAATTGGTTGAGTAATTAGGTGGGGAGTGGGGGTGTGTAAAGAGTGAATGGAAGATAAAGAAGGCAAGATAAGGAAATAATGTGTGTAAATAACACTTTGAAGAAGCTTAGTTATGAAGGGAAGGAGAACGTTAGCCTGAAGAGAACAAAACCAAAGATCTTATATTTTTTGTGTTACTTTTGCTTTTACTTTAGATGGGAGAAAAAGCATATTTATGTGAAGAAGAGAGGTATGATAATAGGTATCAGTTACGTGTCTTTTCAAATACCTGAGACTGTGCTAAGCATTTTATAGTCAGAATTTAATTTAATTTAATTTAATTCTGATACCTCCTCTGTAAAATGGCAACCCATTTATAGATGAGGGAACTGAGACATGCAAGATGGGATAGACTCCAGAGCTCTTGTGAGAGGATTAGCAGAGATGACTCTTCCACTGTTACAGGAGGGCAGGGGGCGAAGATAGGTATTGATGGGCATGTTTGTATCTGGGGCTAGCCTGGCATTAGATAAAGAAAATGGGCTTGGGAAAGCATAACTTCAGATTTCAGTTTATATCCCGGCTCTGTCAGCTTCATAAACTTTGGGAAAGTGACAGTTTATTTGAGCTTGTTCCCTCTTATCCAAAGGGAAATAATAAGAGGATTGTAGTAAATTCACATGATTATTGTGATTAACATGAGTAAACAGTGCCTCGTTTTCAATAAATAGTAATGGCAGACAGGGTCCTCTGTGAATGGTAGCAAGAGGAAACGAGAGTGATAAAGTAAGGGTAAAGGATTTGTAGAAATTTGGAATCACTTCTGTTGAGAAGGCTGTCCCAGGTGAGGATTAAGACCAGATTCCTGCCCTAGTAACACAGCATTGAAAGGTGCCGAGACCAGATTCCAAGGAATGCCACTGTAGGAGCATCCTGTTGCCAGTTCGTGACAGGTTTTTAAAAGACAGTGGAATCTGATTTATGTGGTGGAAAAATAAATTTAGTAACAATGCGTAGGATGATTTAAGGATGCATGATTCAGGCAGTAGAAAGACAATTTAAAGGCAGCATAGCCTAGCTGAAAGAACATAAACTTTGCAATCAAAACTAAGCTTCAAGAGTTCTCTTATTTACAGGCTGTGAGATCTTAAGGCAAGATACTTAAATTGCTTTGATAGTGAATAGAGCATGACTTTTAATCATTTTGAGCACTTTATCCTTCTCAGCTGCCTACCTTATTGATGCCTGTGGGGAGTAACAAAATGATCTGTGTTGTCTGGTTGGTATATAGTAGGCATTGACATTAGTAGTGGTCTAGGTGAGACACAAGGAACCCTGGTGGCACAGTGGTTAAGCACTCCGCTGTAACTGGAAGGTTGGCGGTTCGAACCCACCGGCAAAAGATTTACAATCTGCTCTCGTAAAGATTACAGCCTAGGAAACCCAATGGGGCAGTTCTTCTCTGTTATAGGGTCGCTATGAATCGAAATCAACTTATGGCACACAACAAGGTGAGAGACAGGTTAGCCACCATCTTCTAGGGCTCCCATTGAGCCTTCTGTAGTATGACAAACTGTGTGCCCTACTATACAATTAAATAAATTTTCCCTTGGTGTATTCTGTTATATATTGAGTTATACGAGGCAGTTACTTGGCAGTGATAAATATTAGAAGGAAGATCTTTAGAAGTAATTGGTAGATTCTCTAGAAGCAGTCTGATAATTACACTTTTGATCAAATAACTATTGAATGATAGCTGAATGAGGTGTTTCCCCGAAATGTAGTGTTAGATTCTATTTTACGCATCACAAGGGATAGAGCATTATACCTAGTAGAGGAAAATATGCATCCCTGGAAACTGGAAACATTTTTCTTAGGTTTATGAATGATAGAATGTATTTTCTAGGCTGTTCTGTATTTGTGAGGGGGCAAAAATACAGTCTTTTCCCTTCCCCTCTGATTCTAATTTGCAGAAAGGGGCTTAAATGAAAGATGAACCCCTTGTGGGGTTTTTTTTGTGTTTGTGTTCAGCTGTAGGGTATTTTGTGGTGGATCACCTCATTACTGTGTGACATTGTGAAAGTTAACCTTTCTAAGCCTTAGCTTTCTTATCTGTAAAGTAGTAGGTTTGTTAACATCTTTAATTATTCAATAATGCTTATATGTACCCAAACCAGTTTGCTATAATCTTTTTTTTTCCTTCTGCACTTTAGTGCTGGACAGGTATCTTAAAGTGCTACAGTTTTAATTAATGCAAAGAACTGAACATCTGTAGCCACTGTATATGTAGAATTATTATGAAGCTGCAATTTTTATTTTAACAATTGGGTATGATTACAATGTAACTCACCTTTTGAAAAAATGTATGTTTGAATGCTGGGGTCACCATGAGTTGGAATTGAGTCGATGGCAACTAACAACAACGGTAGCGTTCCTTATAGGTAGATTTTATTTAGAGGTGAAGCCAAGCTTGGTAAATGAGTTAGAAGGTGAAGTTGATTGTAACCCTCATTTTTGTCTATAGTGTATGAGCACAAAGTAACAGGAAAGCATGGGCTTAGTGGCTTATTTGCTAATTCTAAAGGCAATTACAAGATGTGTTTCATTGGAAGGAATACAGAGTAAAGTGACTACTTTGAAGAAAAATCAGTTCTGTGTAGACCTACCTTTTATGTTTATGCATTACTTTTAAATTTCATTCAGTATGATCAACATTGCTACATTTTATTGTTGAGTTGTATTGAATCGGGGGCCCTGGTGGTGCAGTGGTTAAGAGCTCAGGCTGCTGACCAGAAGGTCAGCGGTTTGAATCCACTAGCCCCACCTTGGAAACCCTATAGGGGCAGATCCTGTCCTGTGGGGTTGCTATGAGTCGGAGTCGACTCGACACCACGGGTTTGGTTTGTTTGTTTGTACTGAATCATAGTATCCTGTTTATCAAATGATTAACTTAAATATTTAACTTTTAAGCGCCTTAAAATAAATTTTGTGAATTAGTAGTAAGTAAGATTGCAGATTTTATCCTTAGGTGATTTTGTTTCTCTCTTTGTCATTTCTGTCAGATGGATAGTGGCTATAATACACAGAACTACGGAAGCAATATTATAGATACCGTTGGGGCAGAAAGTTACTGCAAAGAAAGTGATGCACAAATCTATGAAGTTGAGAATAAATCTCAAGCTTTTAATACAAAGGTATGGAGAAACTAGAGAGAAAGCTTAATATGGTTGTAGGTTATAAATATTTACTAAATGACCTTTTTCAATGTTTTCTCTCACATTCTGTTTAAATTTTTTTGTTATTATCTGTTTATGCTTTATTCTGTCTTCAGTTCATTTAACAGCAAGAGAAGGTGATTTGAAATGAAAACGATTCATTTTTCTAACTCTTTTGCTATGGGAGAGTGTAAGAAGAGGTGGTAGGAGAGGGAGAGAGAGCCCTACTTGAAATGGTGTTTGAAATCAGTTCCTTAAAATTAAAAGGGGAGTTAGAAGTAGGGAGTGGCAAGTAGGAGTCAGAGGTTTGTGCCTCTAATGTTGTCTTTGCTGTCTTTGAAATATAAATAGATGCCTCAAAAAAGATTTAAAAAAATAATTTTGATTATTAGAGAGGGAGATAGTACAATTGAGAGAATACTATACATCAGATTAAAAGCACGAAAAGGTGAGGTCTAGTTTGTTAAAAGCCAATAGTAGCATTTATAGATTTTGGATGCCCTTGAAGGAGATACTGAGTATCTTATATACTACAGAGGAGTCCCCTGGGTAGTGCAGATGGTGAAGTAAGTGCATGACTGCTATCCAAAAGGCTGGCGGTTTGAAACCACCCAGAAGTTTCTTGGAAGAAAGGCCTGGTAATCTGCTTCCAAAAGGTCACGGCCTTGAAAACCTCATGGAGCGCAGTTGTATTCTGCAACACATGGGGTCACAGTGAGTCAGAACTGACTTGATGGCAACTTTTTTTTTATATACTACAATACAAAGGTATTATACTCTTCATTAGGACGCTTAATGAACCGTCTTCCTGGTAGGATGAGTATAACTATATATTCATACTTGAAGAAACCCATCATAAGTTCAGGCACTAGTCAGTAGAATCTTCGATTTTAGAAGCCCATTTATTAATAAGCACTATAAACCTCAGTAAATGTGCAACTGAATGTGTCTCCAAGCAAATATTAAATATGGGGAGGCCACTTTGTTTTCCCTTTCATTTTGTCTTTCTGCTGTCGTGTTAGAAGTCTCTTCTTAACAAAGTTGTTTTTTTTTTTTTTTAATTGTATTTTAGAAGAAGGATTACAGTACAAACTAGCTCCTCATTGAACAGTTAGTACACATACTGTTTTATGACATTGGTTAACAATCCCACGACATGTCAACACTCACCCTTCTTGGCCTTGGGTTCCGTATTACCAGCTTTCCTGTCCCCTTCTGCCTTCTAGTCCTTGTCCCTGGGCTGTTGTGCCCTGTTGGTCTCGTTTTGTTTTATGGACCTGTCTAATCTTTGGATGAGGGTGAACCTCGGGAGTGACTTCATTACTGAGCTAAAAGGGTGTCCGGGGACGATACTCTTTTATCTCCAGTCTCTGTCAGGCCAGTGAGTCTGGTCTTTTTTTTGTGAGTTAGAATTTTGTTCTGCATTTTTCTCCAGCTCTGTCTGGGACCCTCTGTTGTGATCCCCATCAGAGCAGTTGGTGGTGGTGGCCGGGAACCATCTAGTTGTGCTGCACTCAGTCTGGTGGAGGCTGTGGTAGTTGTGGTCCGTTAGTCCTCTGGACTAATCTTTCCCTTGTATCTTTAGTTTTCTTCATTTTCCCTTGCTCTTGAAGGGGTGAGACCAGTGGAGTATCGATGGCCGCTCACAGGCTTTTAAGACCCCAGACGCTACTCACCAAAGTAGAATATAGAACATTTTCAACAAAGTTGATTTTGATAGTTTATCCTGTTGCATGAGATAGGACTTTAGTTGTAGTCCTTTTCAACTTTTAGTAGGCAGTAAGATACCGGTAAGGATTTTTTGTTTCCCTCATGTTCCAGTGACAGGTATGGACATTGAGATTTATGTATTTTATGCAATTTTCACATGATGAAATATTCTTCTTAGCGTGTGGGCTGTACAAAAGCAGAAGGCAGGCCAGATTTGGCGCCGGGCTGTAGTTTGTCAGTCCCTGGTCTGCATAAATAATCATGGTACATGGTCATCAGTGAGCAGCCCATCAAGGAAAGCTATCATGGTCTAGCTAGAGCCAGGTAAGGATTTTTTTTGATACGGAATACTGATTTGTACTAAGGAAATCTGCATTCAGGTTTTAAAAATAGTTTTATGTAATAGTTGCATCTTTGAATGGCCCTATTTAAACTGAAAACAAGGTATTTCCTTTTTTTTCTTCCACAGCAAGACCACACAACACAGAGGTGCTGGAGGAAAACAGCAAATCCTTCTCAATGCAGCAGTCCATAGAATACCTCCCTCAGAACCAAAGACTGGCCGAATAGCTCCGAGCATGTTTTTTATGCACAGGATCAACAATGAAATCGTGATGGGGAGAAAACTGTTTCAACCAACATGCTTAACACTTTTTCCTTCCCTCTGCAATGTGAAAAATCAAGGGCTTAATTCAGTGATACAGGACAACATAAGAGCTCCTGGAACTTCAACAAGTTGCTGAAGTTTATTTTTTATTAAATAACTATTTTTGTAATTACCTTGTTTAACAATAAAAAATAATTTCAGCTTTTTAAATTGTGACAGCTGCTGACTTTGCTCCTATCCTATAGGATTAATGAACTTCTTATTAAGCCTTACTGACAGCACTGAATTAGCAGTAGATCTGAGAATGTGTAGAAATACATTAAAATTTAAGGCACTATTGTAAATGTTTTAATTTACATTAAAAACTTGTGAACATACAGATGAATTTAAATTATAACCTATGTGAAAGAAATAAATCTAATTTAGAGATAAAACTGAAACTTAAAGAGGCAGAAAGGAAGTTAAATGGGTTTCCTAAAATTTTAATTCTTGAATTATTTGTTCACTTCTGTGGGGAAATTTTTAGTTCTGGTGATAACTGCTCTAGTTGCTACTTTTAAAAAAGAATATAACATAAAGGTAGTGCTCATGGCATCATAATATCATGAATTGTTACATCAGTGGGATAAAAGTGGGATGCCCAGAATAAGTATATATTCATTACTAGGGTAGGGACATCCTTTCCAGCTCAAGCCACTAATCATGGTTGGCTAGGGATAGGAATAAGAACATGGGAGAACAGGATAAACACTAGGGACTGGGATGATGGTGGAATTCCTGTAGGGCTTAGACCAATGAAGTAGCAGTCAGGCAGAACTATTTTCTAAAAACTTATTTCCATGTTGGGAGTAGAGTATACTATAACATTTTTGGAATTTCTTTACTTTTGGGGAATGTGTATTTGTATTCACTAATTTTTTTTTTTTTTTACAATTCTCACATTCAAAAGGAAATAATACATATGAAGCCCTGGGAAATAAAGACATGTTATCATTGTGTCATTTTCTTCCTTTTTGCACTTTTGTAAGCTTATTGCTAATCTGCAAAAAAATGTTTCATTTTATGTGCCTGGCTCATAAAACACACTAACCATTAAAGCCATTAGCCATTATTAGGTCCACTGGCAAAGTTACTGTATTAGGAAGTTTAGTCTTTAATCACATAGGCTTTAGACTCGATATAAACTAAAAACAACTGCTGAACGTAAGAGTTTTGGGTGCTAATGATCGGAGTCACCCTGCCTACAATTCTTAAAGCACATATCAAGAAATAAAAGACTATACATCCAAGGCACAACAATTGGTCTGTATTCTCCTGGAGCAACAGAGGAAGGACAGTCAGGAATAGGAGGAAGAAATGGAATACGTGTGGCTAGGTGACTTCATAAACAACTGCCTCTGTTGCCATGATACCAGAAGAACTGGATGGTGCCTGCCTACCATTACTGAACATTTTGATCAAAGATTCCAAAGAAGAATCCTGATGAAAAGGGAAAATGTGGAACAGAATTTCAAATTCTCATGGACTCCAGACTTCCCGGAGCTGTGAAGGTTGGATGAACTCCTGAAACTACTGCCAAGATAATCTTTAAACCTTCCACCAAAATATCCCCTAAAGTCTAAAACCAAATAATAGTTTTAAAGAATGTCTGCCTTTAGCATTGTGCTCTTTTAAGATCTACCTATACAGAATCAAATTAACCTGAAGGATTAAGTAGTAAATTTAAGGGGCAGTGAGGTTATGTTAATGAGGGAGGAACAACTCGGAAAAGGAGGGTGAGAATGGTTGGATAGCTCAAAGAGTGTGATTGATGTCACTGAATTGTACATGTAGAAACTGTTGAATTGGTTGGGATATATAAAAATTATACCCAAGTGGGGGGAAAAAAGTAGTGATTATAACCAGGATTCCAATCCTTCCTCTGCCACTTGCTTCTTGATCTAGGACATAAACCTCAATTTTCTCATGTTAAAATGGTAATAACGATCCTACCCAAGAGGGTTTTTTGACCTTTGTTATGAATTATGTCCCCCAAAAGTATGTGTTGTAAATCCTGACCTCTATACCTATGGTTTTAATTCCATTTAGGAATGGGTTGTCTTTGTTATGTTAACGCTAAAGGGTTAGTGTGGGATGTGTTTTAAGTTAAATCTCGAGATATAAAGAAAAATCACAAGCTAGCAAGAAAGGGTAAAACAGATGCAAAGACACCTGGAGATTTCCAAGGAACCAGTAAGTAGAAGCTGAAGACAAGGACCTTCAGAGCCGACAGAGAAAGTCTCCCCTCTCCCACCCAGCCAGCACTCTGAATTTGGACTTCCAGCCTCCTAAACTGAGAGAAAATAAACTTGTTACAGCCAACCACTTGTGGTATTTCTGTTACAGCAGCCCTACATAACTAAGATAATCTTAGTTAACTAAGAACTACTCCATGTAAGCTGCGTAGCATTAAAAATGATTCATTTTAGTTTACTGAGGAAGAGGACTGGGGGAAAAACAACAGGGTTTCAGACCATCTTGAACTACTGAATAGGGACTAATGCTTGAATTAGGCCTTCTTTCTAAAAACAACGGCACGAGAAAAAGTCGGAAAGACAGATCTAAGGTACTATCTTTGTTTTACCAAGAAGCCCCCCTTTTCCTAGTACAGGCAAACTATCGCCAGCCCGCAGACCAAGAATTTTTAAATGGTTGGGGGGAAATATTAAATGAGTATTTTGTGACACATGAAAATCACATTAAATTGAAATTTCCATGTCCATACACAGCCATGTTCGTTTACATATTGTTTATGGCTGGTTTTGCACTGCAACAGCAGCAGAGTTGAGTACTATGGTTGCAACAGAGACCTTTCAGCCAGCAAAGCCTTTACAGAGAAGGTTTGCTGACTTCTGCTCTAGTGTGTTATCACCTATCCATTTTATTTACACATACTATACTCAAGGCTCTCTTCCTTCAACTGGAACAAGTTCTGCCTCAATATATGGATGTTTTCCTCAGTGATAGGAAACAATCATTCAACAATTACTGAATTCCTAAATGATTTGTACACACTGTAATTATTCATTTAGTATTGTTGTTTCCGTGCCCTCAAGTTGATTCTGACTCACAGCAACCCTATTTGACTGTAGAACTGCCCCATAGGTTTCCTAGGCTGAAATCTTTGAATCTGCTATTTATTTGCCAGTCTGCAAGCTCCTTGAAGGCAGTGATGAAGTTACTTGACTGTGTCCCCCGCAGCAAGTGATAAACATGATACACAGAAGGTACTTTACAAGTTGAGTAAGCTGAGTAAAATGTTTATTAAGCTTTTGTTCTACCCCAAATATTCTTGAATATACCAATTTAATCATTACTGTTTTCTGTGGTTATCAAGGGAAGTAGTCACTCTGAGACACCAAATTATAATACTTTTAGTCTGTTCCCCTTTAATATGCTCTTACACAAAGACCTCTTTTCTACATAACCTGATAAAAAGCCATTAACCTGCTTTGTATTTTACAAATAACATGATACAGACATTTAAAATACCATCTCTACTCTTTCTTTGAGCCCTAATGCCTCTTTCTGCGGGAGATATTTGAACTGAAGGTCAAGGATGATCACCACACTTTATTCCAGCTGTTCATAATACCGGAGGCTTGTTAACACAGTAAGGGAACACTTAACATAAATTAGGTAAATTAAAGATGGCAAAGGAGATTACAGAATTCCATAACAGAGGGTGACTTTACTATCTCGAAATCTAAAAATTGCCATACTGACAGGTTTAGAAAGACTGTTTCTTGCTTCCAAGAATATTCTGTATTTTTCTCCTTAATTTCATGAGTCACAAAATAAGTCTTTTCTACCAATATTAAGTAATCAAATTACTTATACAAAATTAATCTGCTCTTCAATGAGCAAATGAGCACTCCATTTAAATGATCTTTACTAGATCCCTGAAGTTGCTATCCTGTCACTATTTAAGTGATGGATATTCAATTTAATTTTTATGCATTAATAGTTCTGTTCAATCCAGAAATGAAGTAGCATGAGACAGACACAGTAAACAGTTCTATAAAAATGCAAATTTTTTAAATTATTAAAACTTACTTAAAAGTAACAAAAAGTAACAAATTTTATCACACACTTCTTAGGCTGAAAAGTGTTCTATCAAGCTTTTTTTTCCTTTAAAGGAGACTAATCTTTGAAGTTTTTTGTTGTACGCAGCTATTTTTGAAGCTTCTTCTTCTTTCTCTCTGGTTCATTAATGTCCATGTTTGAAATATCAGTGCTTATTCCTGGTATCTAAAATAACACAAATGGAAAAAAAATAAGGTGATTAATAAGCATAAATTAATCTCATCCTCATTTTCCCCTTCCCCATTGCCACTTTCAAATTTAAAAGGGTGTAAGAGTAGGAAGGAGAAAAGAGAAGAACTAATAAAGGTTTTAAACACAAAGTAATACCTAAAGTAATAGTGGTTCAGAAATGTAAAAGGTAGCCATGGTCTCAACAGGTGAGAAGCGTGTCATTTGGGATGTATATTTTTATCTATAACATTTAATCCTTCCCACCTCCGATTTATCCCAGTTGAACCATGAGAATGGTAGAGGGCCACGGGCCTCAGTATGTTGGGGCAGAACAAAGGTTAAGAACCAACGTCAGGTGAAACACCTACACTTTTATCTTATCTTCAAAAGTGCAGATTTCAAAACTGTTATGAGAGAAAAAGTAGTAGCTGGGAGATATGAAAGACCTCTCCGATTTTGGTACTCAAGGACCTCAGAAGAATTCCAGATGTCTGGGATTCCACGGCTTCATAAAATCAGTGAGAAAACAGGATTTGCTATGCAAACATTTGACCTCCATACCACTTACGGGATTGTTTCTAACATTAAACAGAAAGAAATTGTAACCATATTGCTCTCTTTCACAAAAGAAGTACTTCTGTTTTGTTCCATCACAACACAGCCATCATAAACGTTGGTCTCACCTGTGGCTCCACCAGGGACATTCGGATTTTCTGATGCTGAAGATTAGATGAGTCTAACATGATTCTCACTTTAACTTTATCAAATATATGGAACACTGTATCTTCTATTTTAAGTGACGGTATCTACACAAAACACAGTTGACCATTAACTTCATCGCTTTCCTACACTTGAGGCTTTGGTCTACATCTTTACATTTTATCTTTCATAGTAATGACTTCATTTAAAAAATTTAAATTTAAAAATTACTTCAATATTGATACACATCTAGGTGTTCTTTTCAATGGACTAAAAACAGTTCATAGTAGCCTTAGATAAATATGACCTATGTATATGCATAATTCCTCTTTTCATTATTAAAGTGGTCCCAATAGATACCCATTAATCTTGAGATTCCCACCCCAGCAATTAGCAAAGTTAATTGTTGGTCTACTAGAGGACCACAAAGGTACTGCAGGCCGAGTTTATTGTTTAAATATTCTCAGAGAGCTGTAGTTCTAAGGGTAGGGAAGTAGGGAGTGTGTCAGATTAAGAGACACTGTAAATGGGTTGGAAAAAAGTTCCTCTACCTGAGCTATACGCAGCTATTTATCCCTGTATTTTAATTCATCTGTCCACCCAGGGCAACACTTAATCCAAGTTTTCCCTAGAGGGGAAACTTTGCATGGTATAAAAGAGATCAAGGACAACACATATATGTAGAAAAATATACTGAGGTAAGAAACAGTAAAACCATAAGCTTAGCTAGCATAATGAAATCTGGATTTTCTGGCATGGAGATTTAACATAAATTCTGTAGAGTACAAAAAATAATTTTACCCTTTATAGGTACCACTTGTGACCTATAAATGAAAAAATATGCCCCTCTGCCCCCCAAAAGGAAAACAAAAACATTAGAAATACTCTACCTCATCATCGTAAACAAGCCATGGCTTTGGCTTGTCCTTTTCTTCAAAAAAGACTGTACCTTCTAATCCATACTTTGGAATTAATACCACAATAGCATTCTTTCTTACAAATAAAATATAGCCTTCTTCACTTACTATTCCTTTGCTTTTGAAAAATAACTGTAAAACAAAGTACAACCTTATTAAAAAGTCTGAAAGCATTTCGAAACAGTTAAAAATGAACAAAAAGTCATCCCTCCCAGCATTATTGATAAAAAGCAAACACCTGGGTATGAAATGCCACTGATGCACGCTGGGCATATTGAGCCATTTTGTGCCGGAAATTGAGATTTTTACATAAGTCTGCAAGTTTGTGTTTGTCTGTCAACTCTGGGTAAGTAGAGTCGGCCCCGATAGCCACGGCCAACAACCGATGAACAATGACATCTGCGTATCTAGATACATGAAGGAG